AGCTTGTTGGCTGCCTCATGTACCTGATGACTTGCACACGACCTGACCTTGCATACCCTCTTAGCATTCTTGCACGCTATGTTGCTCCTGGGAGACACAGACCAGAGCACATGGCTGCAGCGAAGAGGGTGTTGCGCTACTTGTGCAGTACGTCGGGCATGGGGCTAGTGCTTGGAGGGCGGAGTCCAGTGGTCCTCACTGGGCACGCGGACGCTTCTTGGGCTGACGACCAGGCTACGCAGCGGTCGTCACAGGGTTACACCTTCAGCCTTGGTTCCGGCTCTGTTTCGTGGCGGGCTACTCGCTCGTCTTCTGTTCTTGGCTCGAGTTGTGAGGCTGAGATCTACGCCGGGGCCATGGCTGCACAGGAGCTTCGCTGGCTCACCTACCTGCTGACCGACCTTGGAGAGCCGCCTCGTTCTCCTCCAGTCCTGTACGTAGACAACAAGGCCATGCTGGCCTTGTGTCGAGAGCAGCGACTGGAGCACAGAACAAAGCACATTGCTCTCCGCTACTTCCTTGCTCGTGAGCTACAGCAACGTGGTCAGTTGCGGCTTGCGTACGTGGCCTCTGAGGCCAACACTGCTGATGTCTTCACCAAGGCACTTCCACCTTGTGTTCATCAGCGCTTCTGCACTCAGCTGGGTCTTGTGCCTGTCTTGCCTCACTTGCTCTCCTCTTGACCTTGCCTGTACTCTCACATATATATATACCTGCTCTTGCTTGTCTAGCTTTATATATATGTGTGTACTCTTGCATGTGAACTGGCCGTGTGGCCTTGACCCTGTGCTCGGACTGTGTGGTGACTCTGTGATCCACCCTGAGCTTGCTTTGCTTTACTTTGCTTGACTGGTCTTGCTTAATATGCCACCCACAACCATACGGTACTACCGTAGAGTACCGGCAGTGCTGCACCGCATGTATGTAACCATGGTCTCCCATGCGTGCGCTGCTCCGTGTTGTCACAATAACTCCTGGCCCCGCCCCCGGGCCCATCCACCTCCCACACGTAGCTGAGCAAGGTGGCAAGAAGAGCTAGGTGACTCTTGAGTCATTTCAGAAGCTGCTCCCATCTGTCGCATTACTAACCCTTCTCCCTGCCCCCACCAGCCCCCTTCCCCCTGCTGCATGCAACCTTCCTCATCTGCGCGCGGGTGAACAAGATGGCAAGGAAGCTGAAAACCCCCAACCCCACCACGCTCTCCTCCTCCCACACCCCCCCTTTCACACACTCACGCAGGTGAACAAGGTGAGGAACTTCTACTTTGCACCGGGAAAGAGCTTGAGGCAGCAGGGAGGCTTGCACATGCACATGCACAACCCTCATGCCATTTCAATGCATCTCTTTCAACGTAAGCTTCAATTGTTATTTAAATTTAGTGTTTGGCGTTAAGGGTGAGGGGAGCTGTAAGCACATCCTAGAGTTGACTAGCTAAGCCGTTCTGGGGACGACATCCAGGATATGCCTTGTTAGCACATGATGTGTCAGCACATGCCATGTCAGCACTGCTGTGTCAGCACATGCCATGTCAGCACATGCTGTGTCAGCGCATCGAGTGCCTCTTGTCAGTACTTCAAACTAACTTGTATAGTTGCATTCTCTCCTGCAACCCTCCCCCCTCCCCGCCCCCCCCCCACCCCTTCCCCCTCCTCCTCCTCCCTCTCCCTTCCCCTTGTTGTTTCTCCCTTTCATTTTTGTAAACCAATAGCTCCTCAATTTTCAACCTATCATCCCCCTCTCCCGTTCCTTCTCCTCTCCTTCCCCCCCCCCCCCCCCCCCCCCCCCCCCCTCTCCCTTCTACAAGTGTCTCGTGTGGTAAATTCACTCCCCTCTGATGCTAGGTTCGCACGACTAGCCAACCCCTTAGATGGGTGCGCACACATGGGTTTACTTCTGAGAGTAATTTCCTAAGATGGGCAGGTACGGATACGTATGGAGCTAGTCAGCCTTTAGATGGGTACTATGGTGCTGCTTTTCAACCTGCCCCTACCCACTATTCCCGCGCTCTCACCTTCTCCCTTTCTGCTGCGGGTGTCTCATGTGACCAACTCTCTCACTTGTGGTGCCAAGCAGCTCCGAGACTGGTCACTCATTCTATGAAGAATTTACCCTGCCACACTTGCAACTAGAATCTGCACTGCTTTTTGCATGAACCGAACCTCACTCTCCTCCGCCCCCCCCCCCTTCAACCTCCCTTTCCGTTCATGCTGTCAGATGTCCCATTGTGCTCCCCTTCACTGTCTAAACCCCTCCACTGTCTTCCAACACGCCACACCCCCCTCCCCCCCACATCCGTCCCCACCTCTCTGTATGCTAGGTGTCTCATATAATCAATCTGTTCTAGTTTCCGAGAATAGTCAACACCTAATGGGTACGTACGTATAGGACTGCTTTTACATAGAATGTTACTGGGTAAGTACATTCTGTTAAGCAGCTGGGAAAGAGTTTCTTGCATGTTTTATACAACTCATCAAGGTGAGATTTTGTCGTTCATATGCACAGCAGATGTTGTTTTCTCTTCATATTCTGCAGTTACTGAGGCAAGAGCCAACACCTGGACAAAACAAATTCAGCACTCTGTCCGTTCCATACATCTCCATCATCCTCCCATTCATATCCTCCATTTTCTTCCCTTTCCATGCCCCTCTCTCTCCTCCTGTCATTGCCAATCCTCATGTGCTTCCTCCCTCGCAAACAATCTTAAAATGCTTCTCGACCCTTGTTTTCCTGCTGCTCTCGCCCTCTTTCCGTGTTTCCCATTTCAGTGCATCTCTGGCTGCCACCTCATCACCTCACCATGTTTCTTTAGCAGCCCTGGTGAGGAGGGGCGCTGCTGCTGCAAGTCAGACAGCTAGGTGAATGTGGTTCAAGGGAGGGTGAGGAGGAGAATTTTGCGCGAGGGAAATGGGGGGAGAGGTTGGGGGAGAGGGAGAAATAGGGGCTGGTAGGGGAAGAGGCAGACGTATGGGGGAAGGGAGGGGGAGCATGTCAACAGTTGTGTCGCCAGGATGGCATGGTGTGGAGTGGTGTGGTGCTGGTGGCTTGGGCAGAACACGTATGGTGAGAATGGCAATTAGGAGCACTGCAAAGCCCAAAACGCTCTAATTATGGTGGGAGTGCTTCATTCTAGAATTTTATGAGAAACCATTCTTGTGCAATCTGGTTGGGGGAGATATTATTAAGACAGCGGTGGATGCACGTCTGCTCCCATACCTCAGCCTACAGTGTACACTCCTCGTTTTTTACAACTTCGCTTCCCTCACAGCATCTCTACCTTTCACCCATGCCAGCCCTTGTCTCATTTCCAGCATAATCCCCTCGAGCTGAGTGGGAGAAGATGAGGGTGCCACACAACAGCAGCAACTGAGTCAGCAGCCATAACAAGCAGGGTGGGGAGCGCATTTAGTGGGTAGAGTGGTGAGGGTGCAGTGAGGGGATGCACCTGCAACAGCCTTTATCTGATGTTGCTGTACTGAATCTTTGACTGCATTGTGGTGAGCGTTGGTGACACACAACGGTCTCAGAGGAGAGGAGAGGAGAGGAGAGGAGAGGAGAGGAGAGGAGAGGAGAGGAGAGGAGAGGAGAGGAGAGGAGAGGAGAGGAGAGGAGAGGAGAGGAGAGGAGAGGAGAGGAGAGGAGAGGAGAGGAGAGGAGAGGAGAGGAGAGGAGAGGAGGGGAGGGCGACCTGCTGAGAGGAGCACCACTGCAGCGCACGCTGAGATAATCTTCCGACAGATGCAAGCGCGTCAATCCTTCTGCAGCGCGCATGCCTTCAGCGTACCACTCCAATCCAAAAATTTCAGGGCATCATGATTTCAGAGAAGGGCAGAAATTTTGCACCAACAGCAAAGCTGCCACGGAGCAACCAGCTATATGCCCTCTATCCAACCGCCGCACACTCGCGCAGGCCCATTTTGGTAACCGACAACTACAACAGTGTTCTCTTTGATATTAATCAAACATTTGTTTATTTTCATCTGTATAACATTCTCATTGGGTGTATCATTGGTTTCATCTCAAGTAAACGGCAGGAATCAAATGGGGCATATTACAGCACTATACAGAATGCAAGTGCTGGCTGGAACTTGAGAGAGAAGTGTTATAGTAAAACATTGCAGCATGAAAGGCACAGCCCTCACTTTTCTGCTTTAGGCAGCCTGGTTATTTGCCGGAACAAAGACTACACACAGGCAAAGGCTTGCTCAGCCACCAAGTAGACAACTCTCCTCAATACACATTCCTTGTCCACTAGCCTCTCCTCTGTATCACTGCCTTCCCTCCATCATCACTCACTGCCACCTTATCCACCAATTCGCCTGCGTGCATCAAAGTTCGTACGTAACATAGACGTAACATACCGGTAATCCGCCTGCGTACACTGAGATTTCAGCTTGGTCAGAGCAGTCAGCTGCTGCAGCCCATCATTCGTGACTGCCGTGCCATCGAGCCGAAGATCCTCAAGCCCTGTCAGCCTCCCCACATGCACCATGCCAGCATTCGTCACACCCTTGCATCCCGAAAGGCTCAACTGTTCGAGTGAACGAAGACCTATCAGGTGCGGAAGAGCAACATCGGTCACCTTCGTTCTCGCGAGATCGAGGAGCTTGAGGCTAGTCAAGGACCCAATGCCTTCCAAGGCACTGTCTGACACGACTGTGTCTGTGAGGAACAGCATCTTCAGCCGTGGCAGCCTGTAGAGGTGCTTGATGCCCTCTGCACTGAAGCCTGAGGCACAGTCCAAGTCAATGTACTTAAGATGCGTCAATGTGGACACGTGGGCAAGCATAGCGTCGAAAACACCGTTGAGACGTTGCAGGGTTAGAGAAGTCTCCCCCGATGCCGTCTTGACTGCCTGGAGGAAATACATGACAAGGAAAGTGACAATCACTGCGAGAACAATGAGCCAGCAATCAATGCATGCCCTGTGAAACAAGAAAACAGTTCAAAACCCACCTCCCATGCAGTCTTTGGGTCGCCTACACTCTGCCAAATTTCCGCGTCAACATTCACTTTCATATCTTGTATCCTCCGCCATGCTTTCAGGGCAGTCAATTCCTCCATGGCACGTGGCCAATCCACTTCCTGCACCTCTTTCCTCCTCCCTCTCCCTTGCCAATTCCGCCCTTATCTCGCACTCTTCCTTCCTTGACTCCCCTCTGAGCTCCCGTTGCTCTTCCATAGCGTCAATATACTCATGGATCTGTCCCCTCATTGCATTCAGCTCCCCTTTCACAGCAATCACCTCTCCCTGCACTGCAACCAAATTCCTATCTCTCTCCTCCATATTTGCCACTCGCCTCCTCTCAGCCTCCTCCAATTCCCCCTTGGCTGCTGCCAACTCCTTCTTTGTCTCTTCCAGCTGCACGCCAAGCGCCCTCACCCTCATCTCCATCGCCTCACTCAACTCGTGTGTTCCGGCCTTACTCGCCATGACAGCCTCACACACTCCCTGCATCCCCGGAGAGGCATGCTTCCTATGCATTGCAGCACACGAGAGGAATGCACAAAACAACCGGCATGATAATGAGGGGGAGGTTTGGGAGAGTACCAAAAAGAGGAGCATATGAAGAATAGAAGGAAACAAGAGAGGAAAGCAAGAGTGAGTATGAGCAGATCAAGAGTGAGTATGAGCAGGGACATAACATCTTTAGGCAGAAGGGGAGGTGAGTCGGCTGCTGACCACAAGGTCAAATGGTTGGGAGACGAAGGAGACATGACCTTCATGTGAAGTAGATAGAGAGTATTAACAGGAGGAGAGAGAGCCATGGGAAATACATGAGTACATGAGACGAAAACCTGATGGGTTAGGACAGATGGGCACTGCGTGCAGACATGCATACGAACCTACTGACAAGTAATTTTTCCACTGTAAGATCTACACTGACACAGTTTTTCTTACGGTACTGAGATATGACACACGTTCGAAGGATGTTGGTACACCCCCGATGAGATTAACATATAGTGAGGTGCTCACATGAGGCTGTGCAGCAGAGGGGAGATTCCACGTGACTGCAGCATGGCCAGAGTCGAAAAGGAAAGGCAGGAGCGGTGAAGGGAGTGAAACAGAGAGGAGGATGACGACCAGGAGGGGGACGTGCAGCGGCATGGGGATCATGCATGACCATGAATGCCGTGAGGTCGGAAAAAAAAAGAGAAAACATTGGTCCAAAAGCAAAGATGCAGTGGTAGGGGGCAGAGAACATGACATACCACGAGGGGCTTGGTTGCACTCTTCAGCCTCATCAGCCCAGCCGTCACAGCCAAGCCCTGCTGATGCACCCATGCTCTGACTTGCGTGTGGGTCACGCCCATCCCCCACAGCAGCGTTCCAAGAGTAGTGATGGCAGAATACAGCACGAGTAGATGAACTGCACCTGGAGACTGCAGATGTGGAACAAGGGCGTGGGTCACGTGACAGTGATGCATGCAGGGGAAATAAAAAGGAGGTGCAAGGTGGCAATCATAGAAATCAAGCAATGGAGATAATATATCCTGACAGAATGGTTGATTGCAACAGGGTAGGAATTATCGGTCATCCCAACACGAGGTATGCTGAAGGGAGGTTGCATTTGCTTGGGCATTAGCGGCGGGGCGGGAGGCACGCTTGCCAGGGCAGTGACCTTGCCACCCTTGCCAGGGAAGTGATGACTCACTTCCTTCATGGTGATGGCATGCCAGGCATCCGTCCCAAGTGGCGCGATGCTGATGAGTGTAATGGCGGAGCCGAAAGACACCGACCAGCAGACCTGGCAGCAGCATGGCCACTGCAGTCATCCGAGCCATGGCTGATGGGGCGGGCCCAATGCGAAGGGGCGGGGGGGAGGAACGGGGGAAGAACCGGGGGGGGGAGGGGAGGAGGGGGTGGGGAGGAGGGGGGGGGGGGGTAGGGGGGGAGGGGAACAGTAGCAGAGGACGGAGTGGAAAAGTGGAAGTAGCAGTGGAAGGAGGGGAGTGTGACAGCAGGACGGAATAAGAGGAAGTGGGCAGAGAGGGCAGCCGGGCGAACTGAAGAGGTGACAAAAAGAGGTGATGAGGCGAGGCTAAGGCAGAGAGTAGAGTGAATAAAAGTGCACAACTTCTGGAGTGAGAGAGCATCAGAGGGCTAAGGTGGACAGATGCAAGAGTGTGACAAAAATCATAAGGACGAACACGGAGAATGGGATATCATGAACGAAAATGCCTACCTTGTTGTGAGATGGGTTTCGTGAGATGACTGCAACCGAAGAAATTCATGGAAGAGTGGAGCGCAATCTGTCATGACAAATCCAGCAGGTGGAGAAACACGACGCACAAGACACACAGAGTGCAAAATGGAGTGGTGTGGTTTGATGAGTGGAAAGATGGAGAAATTCAAGGATCTTCACTCATCAATGTCTGATCCCTCGGTACACATGTGATCTGAATGCATGGCCCACCAACGGTGAAGAATGTCCTCTATTTGGACCATTGCTCCCTCTGGAATTAAACTATGCCAGTGCGGCCAAGCAAGAGTATGATACAATGAACAACAAAATAAAAATCTGGTGGCAGGGATCACAGCAAGTTGGAGTTAGCAGTTCGGAAGAATGTCGTGAAGGTATAGACAAGCTGAACTGAAAAGGCGTGAGCCATAAAGAGTAAGACAGGCAAAACGCTACGCAATCTGAAAGGAGGTTCAAATCGATTCGAAGGCAAGGGTGAAAGATGAGCGAAACTCGTGGGAAGAGAGACACGAGGCGTGGGAAGAGGGGGCAACGAAACATATTCAGGAAAAACGGTGCATCAAAGGACGACCATTTAAAGTAGACTGGCCGTGCGTACCTGGTGTGTGGCGATGGCAGGTGGCAGCAATGAGCTGCCTGTCCGAAAGCTCCACGGAATGGGGCCAAAATGGAGAGAGGTGAAGAGATATTCTTGATTAGGAAAGGATACAGAAATCGGAGGCAGGAAGCACAGGTCGGAAAGAACCAGAAGGTGGATTAACACAGTTGCACTGAAGGAGACAGAGAAGCAGGCATATAGGAAAGGAGGTGAACAGAGGACAGGAGGGAGGCATCATGCCATCTCGCATCGCACTCCACCCATCATTCATCTCACCGTTTGCTTCTCCCATAGCTCTGCCGTAAGCCCGTCCCCCTTTGTCAGGCATCACTGTCTCTCCGCTTCCAAACCGTCTTGCGTGCTACGAGCAGCACAACCCATGGATGCACCCCACCTCGTTTTCTGCCAACTGTCGCTTGCAAAACGCGACTCGTCGGGTCGATCGCGAGCGCATGGAGTTTCAGGGGTGCTGCGACGCGCATTGGACCATCAAGCTCCATTTATGAAGCGAGCCGCTACCCAGGCCCATCTGGTCCCGTCTTACCCTTCTAACCCCGTCGATCGCCAATAACCGCTGAATATTCGCGCTCGGCGGATAACTATTCGTGGCAAACCGCGAACCCTCGGAGCTGCGCGTGGCGGCGTCGTCGTTTGCAGCCAATGCGCGTTTGCGGGACATTGGGACGGGCGACATGAATTCGGATCCGCCAGTCGCAGCGCTCGATGTATTGACGTGCAAGCTTTCTCACGACGCGTGGCGATTGAATGTGGACGGCGACAACCGTGCTTGCTGGCGCATATCTAACGAAGAGGACCTAATAGTAGCGACATTTTTAGCGAGAAGCGCGGATGATTGTGTGGAGGAAATGGGCGACAAGCATTTACGATGCATAAGTCGAGCAGATGCATTTCGCATCACCCGTTTTTCGCAAATCAGCGAATCTGCGCACTAAGGACGCGTCACCTGAAGCGGTTCGGCCGAAGATCGGCCGACCCGCACCAATCGTCATTTCGAGCCCAGGCTTGGCAGAGATCGGTGCCCATGGCTGCGCAACTACCGCGCACCGATATACAGGTGACAGGTTCGGTAAGGCAGGTTTTGAGGTTGTGGTACACCCAACCTGCGAAAACAGCTCTGCTGTCGTGCACAGTTCGCTAAACAAAACGCACTCTTTGCGATGTCGTGCAGTTACATTGCAACTACGAGCGAAGACGATCAATCTTGACTGTTACTCGTGCGCGAAATTCCACACTGGGCCAACCAATCTCACGATCGATGTATGCACTTCGCTATATCGATCGAGGCTCCCGTAGGTGACAGGGTCGTGGGCACATTTGTACTGTCCATTCGTCAACGCTGGCGAAAGTTTGTTACCTTGTTGATTACGACGCTACAGTGCTACACCCCGGGCGCAAAACCGACCTTCCAGCCGATCGATCCGCTTCAGGTGACGCGTCTTAAACGAGCATTGCCGAGTCCTGGCCCAATTTGCGAGGCACAGCTGTTACACAGCTGCTATTCTTCGCCTTTTGGAATTCTTCAATTTCGCCCACGTGACGGAACTTCAGAGGGCAGAGGTTACCTCCTTGAATTGTGTTCAACACCTTTGAATCGGATTACAACTCGCAAAACCATTGAAGGTGGATTTGCTTGATGCAATGTCTAGTTAGTCCTTGGCATGCTCCGTTATATCAGAAGCACTACGAGTCTGGCTGCGTTCTGTGGGCGCATCAGCTCTGATGCGTCTGAGGCTCGGGCTGATGCGCACATTGAGAAATTGAGGTTCGGAACTGACAAAATTGAATTCGATAAATTAAGGTTCGGACGAGGTTCGGACAAGGTCCCCGAAATCTCTTATTTCCAATTTTCCGAATCTCGTCCGAACCTCGAATTTGGTCATGTCAGATCTCGATATCCAATTTCCTCAATTTTCCAAAATTTTATGGGTTTCTAGGAAGTTAGACCGCAAATTTTTTAATGGTGCCAACCAATGAGGGTTTAGGAAGAAACAAATTGACGAATGAGGGTGCTCCGCACCAGCTGTGCGCGCATCATGCGACTTCTCGGAGTTGCATGATGCGCGCATCAATGATGCGCCAGATTGCTAGGACGAGAAATTTCTCGTAAATCGGCGACATGTTAAATTTTGGTCGCCGAAAAGGCCGTTCTGCAGGCATTCGGATTTGTTTCGCTTCGGCAGCCATGCGCTTATCGCGAACCTTGATAACCTGTCGGCAGTTATCACGGAAGTATCTTGGAACCGTGGTAGAATGCATCAATGTACATTGATGCGGGCTGATGCGCCCACAGAACGCAGCCTCTATGAGGCTCAACATTACTACTATTGAAAGCGTGGTTGTTAGCACAGTCATCCGGCAATATCCCTCCCTCGTGTCGCCGTCTCTATACCTCTCGAAAATTGTTGAGCAAGAGCCTGCGTCGTTTGGCTTCTGCCTTACCTCTAATTCATAAGCTCAATTTATCGAGCGAAGATCCCAACTACTAGAACTGCGCACTTCAGATCGTTTGTAATGCTTGACGCACATTCTGAAGCTCAGATTCAAGTGTCTGCGAAGCCTAGTCGTCATAGCCTCACGTCGTGTCAATTTGCGGAACCCTAGAAACAGGCCTGAGGTAAGGCCGGTCCTGTCATTCCATTCCTTTCGGCTCGCAAAGTGGCACTACCCTTATTTTTCTCCTTTCGCCGATGCTTTTGAGTCCTTTGATGCTCCGCACCCTCTATTTCTCTCATGGTCCTTGTTCCTATGCCTCCCACCGTCTCCATTCCACGTCCCCATCTCTTAGGGCGCTGAGAGGAAAACAGTCATAGTAAACAGTCATTTAGCCATGCATGGAGTCGTCACGCTTCTATTCTCTTATTAAGATGCTCTTAAAAGGGCAAACTGACCGTCATCGGGATTTTGTGACGTGCGAGGCGTGAGGTGAACTGAACATTTGCCACCACACCGCACCACGCCTCATTCCACGCTCACCGCACTGCCACTCATTCGATGCGCACCACACCTCATTCCACGCACACCGAAAAGCACCGCACCTCATTTCATGCGCACCGCACCGCACCCCACCTCATTCCACGTGCACCGCACCGCTTTCCACACGCACCGCACCTCATTCCACGCACACCGCACCGCACCCCTCCTCATGCCACTTACACCGCACAGCACCGCACCCCATTCCACGCGCACCGCACCGCACCCCACTTCATTCCACGTGCACTGCACTGCATTCCACACGCCCGCACCTTATTCCACACGCTCCGCACCTCATTCCATGCACACCGCACCGCACCCCTCCTCATGCCACTTGCACCGCACAACACCGCACCCCATTCCACGCGCACCGCACCGCACCCCACTTCATTCCACGTGCACTGCACTGCATTCCACACGCCCGCACCTTATTCCACACGCTCCGCACCTCATTCCACGCACACCGCACCGCACCGCTTCTCATGCCACTCGCACCACACCGCTCCTCATGCCACTCGCACCGCACAGCACCGCACCTCATTCCATGCGCACCACACTGCACCACACCTCATTCCTTGCGCACCGCATCGCACTGCACCTCATTCCACGCGCACCGCACCGCACAGCACCGCTCCTCATGCCACTCGCACTGCACAGCACCCATGCGCACCGCACCACACCACACCTCATTCCACGCGCACCTCACCGAACTGCACCTCATTCCACGCGCCTGTGACTGTCCTAGACATGTGCACAGATAGGAACGACCTACAGCTGATTGCTAGGCGCTGAGGTAGGAACGACCTAGCGAATAAGCAAGCGGATAGCCTGGTAATATGGAAGACGATTGAAGTCGAACATCTTGGCTTTAAGAAAATTGCGAGATGAGGCCGAGACTGGATCTCGAAAGTGCGAGATCCAGATTACGAGCAAAATGTTGCTTGACCCAGTTAAGTGCGGGAAACCTTCATGGCATCCTAGACGACTAGAGACGAGTCAGGTGTGCTGTGTCGAATCACCAACACGACGAGTCGCCGAGTGCCGACTCGACAATTGTCCAGCTGAGTCGGGCGATGGATTGCCCATTAGGCCAAGCCGACTTGACTCGAAATAGTCGAGTCGAGAGAGCACTTGAGTAGGCCAAGTCGAGTCAAAACTCAACTCGCTGCTCGTATCTAACCTAGCGTGTGTTTGACCTGGCCTGTGGCGGACCAACCTAGGCTGTTGTGAGTGACCCAGCCCACGACTAACCCTGCATGTGACTGTCTTAGCAGTAAATGGCCCTCCTGTTGCTACCGTAGCCTATGACTGACCTCACTTGTGTCGGGCCTACCTTGTACTTGACCTAGCCTGTGAGCGTCTCAGCCTGTGAGTGTCTCAGCCTGTGAGTGTCTCAGCCTGTGAGTGTCTCAGCCTGTGAGTGTCCTAGCCTGTGAGTGTTTTAGCCTGTGGGTGTCTTTGCTTGTGAGTGTCTTAGCCTGTGAGTAACCTAGCCTCTGGCTGCCTGATCTAACTTGTGTGTGTGACCTAGTTTGCGAGTGACCAAGCCTCTGTTTGACCTACCTTCCAATGGACCTAGCCGGTGACTGACCTAGACGTTTGTTGCCCACACTCCCCCCCTTTCTCCCCCCCCCCCCCCCCCCACTGACCTATTCTGTGAGTGAATAGTTCTGTGGCTTATGCAGCCTGTCGCCAACCTAGCCTGTGACTGACATAGCTTTTGCTCACCTAGCTTGTGTGGCAGCTGTGCCTAAACTGACCTTTCTTATAAGAAACTTACCCTCTGATTGACCTAGCCCTCGACGACCTAGCCCCCTACTGACCTAGCTTGTCGGTGAGTGATAATTTCTGTAAGGAAATGCTTGAATTTGATATCTAAATTATATCAAGAAAAGGATGGTTATGCCTTGGCATTCGTGTTCAGGTATGGCCAGGAGGACAGAATGTACTTGATTTGATGGTAGTATAATAGGGTAAAAATGGCAATTGTATATTTCTTTCTGTGCAAGAAAAACGAGTGCAGCAGATTTGCGCGGGTAGGAGACGCTGGGTTAGGTGAATGCCGTATGGTGTGGTTGAGGGTGATATTTGGGTAAAGCTGGCAACCCAAATGTAATGTTTCCTTTTTTGCACTATTTCTTACAACTATTATTTCGTCAGCCTTGAACCTTCTTTTTCCGCATAATGTAATGCGTATTTCTTAGCTTATTGTGTATTGCTTTAATTCGCCAATGCATAGTACAGTATGTTCAGCTCCCGAAGTGTATTTTCCTGATTAGATGTGAGCTAGCTAGCTTGAAGCTTTAGAGGAACGACCTATCATACGATTAAGCTAGCCAATGACCAACAGGCCTGCACGTGACCTAGTTTGTGACTGCCCCGTGCCTTGTGGTGAACCTGCCTTCTACATAAGCTATCTTGTGGTCAAGGTAATCCTGTGGTAAGACTATCCTCTGATTAACCTCTCCCGTGATAAACGTACTGTATGAGTAATCTCTCCTTTGATTAACTTACTCTATGGTTAACCTTTCATATGGTGAACATAGCCGCTGTTGTGTAACCAGAGAGTGTGTCATCTTTCCCCTTTGCCTTTGGACTTCAATCTTTCCAATTGCCTCTTTCTACTGGACTCTCTGCACTCCACCTTAATCTGGTCCATTATTCCTCACTCCCGTCCACTTTTCAGGGGAAAGCTTCTCTTTGCTGAAAACTACCTAGACGCTTCCTGGGAGTGGATTGGGACAATGGCTGTAGAAAGGGAGGAGAATGAGCTTAGTGAGGCGGTTAGAGGGCTGTTTGCAACAGTGAGAGGGGAGCTGGCAGCAGTGAAGGGGGAATTGGCGGCAACGAAGGGGGAGGTGGCAGCAATGAAGGGGGAGGTGGCAGCAGTAGTGGCGGATAAGGCGGCACAGCAGAGTGCACGAGGGTTGGTGTTGGAGAGCAGGTGCGTCGTGGAGAATGAATGAGGCGAATGAGTTGAGGCACTGGCTCTTCGCATTCATTCACGTGATTCTATGCCACCTGTCTCATGCTCGTTTTGTCTCCATCCCTCTCCTCGTTAGCTCCTTTGCACACTGTGCACGACTGTTATCCCCTCTTCTCCACATCCCCCCCTGCTGCTGCTTGTCCCCTGCCACACCTGCCTCACAGTCTGAGTACACGCTAGTCTCATCTCTACCCGTCTGTGCCCCATGCCTATGTTTTCCGCTTGTCTCGTCCTGTGCACTCAGTACAGAACCTGTCTTTCCTGCCACAACCCCCCTCCCTCCTCTATTCCTGCTCCCTGAATTCATCCTCTCCTCCTGCCGCACATCACTATGCAGCCGCACGCCTTGCATTGGGCTCGCCCCATCAGCCATGGCGCGGATGACTGCAGTGGCCATGCTGCTGCTAGGGCTGCTGCTCGCCCTCCTTCTTGCCGCTGCCATCAGCATCACACCAACTAGCAGGCAGGGACGCTTCATGCGTATGCCCGCGTATTTCTGAAACCTCACATGTCCGCATTGTTGCAATGCTCTGATGGGGTATGCCTTCACATCATTGGATATTATCATGTTATCATCAGCAGCTGCCCTCACAGCTCTCCTGCTGCCTAAAGCTGAGGGCTCTTTGCCCAGTTCCACTACTCTTGACTTCCTCATCCTCCTAATGATCCACTCGCATCTTCCCTCCGCAAATACTCCGATCTTTTCATTCCATGTGTGCCGCGCTGTGTTCTTATGTGCCGCCATGAGTTGCCGTGTGCCCGTGTTCCCATGTGCTGCCATGTGTAGGAAGCACGCCAATTTCCAAGTGGAGAGAGTAAATGGAGCGGTTGGCTCTGCCATGGCAAGTATGGCCGGAACAAACGAGTTGAAAGAGGCGATGGAGATGAGAATGAGGGCGCTTGGCGTGCAGTTGGAAGAGAAAAGGAAGGAGTTGGAGGAGGCTGAGAGGAAACGAGTGCCGGAGATGGGTGAGGTGAGAGGACAGATGGAGGAGAGGGGGAAGGATTTGGCAGCAGTAAAGGGAGAGTTGGGTGCAGTGCAGGGGGAGCTGGCAGCTATGAAGAGGGAGCTAGCTGAACACAAGGATGCTATGGCAGAGCAAGTGGAGGCTAGAAAGGAGTTGAGTGAGATCAGGGAAGAATTGGCAGCATTGAGAAGAGACTTGAGGGGGCAGAAAGACTTTGTGAAAAGTCAATTGGATGAGGCTGAGAAAAGACACACAGAGAACTTAATAGAGCTGAGAGGACAGGTGGAGGAGAGGAAGAGGGAGTTGGAGAAGGTTGAGAGGAGACGAGTGGCGGAGATGGCAGCAGAGCTGGCAGCAGTGAAGGGGGCGTTGGCTGGGCACAAGGATTCTATGATAGAGCAACTCCGTATGGCTGAGAGAAGAAGGGAATCAGGTTTGAAAGGTCTAATTGAGGAGGTTAGAAAGAAAGAGGATGACATGAGAGCGGAGTTGGCAAGGGAGAGGGAGGAGAGGAGGAGGGAGGTGCGGGAGTTGAATTGGCCACGTGCCATGGAGGAATTGGCAGCCTGCAGGAGTTGGGTGAATGTTGAGATGGGAATTATCCGGAATGAAGTTGATCGGAAGACTGCATGGGAGGTGAGTGCTGAATGAACTGTTTTTCAGGGCAAGCATGGTTTGCTGTTGTCTCGATTATCACTCCTTGCCATTCATTCTCTTTTGTATCCATCACCTCCAGCGAATCAAATCAGCATCACCAGGAACCCATCTGGGTCTGGCGAGTCTCGGCGGCCTCTCAGACGCCATGCTCGCCCATGTGTCCACAATGACCCACCTGAAGAGCATCGACTTGCGATCTACCTCAGGCTTCAGTGCAGAGGGCATGAAGCACCTGTACAGTCTGCCACAGCTGGAGACGCTAGACCTGCAATTTACAGATGTCTCAGACAGTGCCTTGGAAGGGATTGGATCCTTGTCCAGTCTCGCGGAGCTCCATCTCTGGAAGACCAAGGTCACAAATGCCGGCATGGTGCATGTGGGGAGGCTGACAGGACTTGAGTAACTTCTTCTAGGTGGCACGGCAGTCACGGACGCTGGGCTGCAGCAGCTGACTGCCCTGACCAAGCTGACATTTCTCTTTCCGGCACAAGGGGGTTACCTTATGTACGATGATGCTCGAAGGCGGATAGGCGGGTAGGGTGGCAGGGAGTGATGATGGAAAGAGAGGTGAGGGAAGAGTTGAGTGTGACTGCAGGGAAGCTGGGGACAAGGACGAGCAAGAGAGCAGTGAGGGAAGCGAGCACGATGGGCGAGCAGTGAGGGAGGCGATCAGCAGTGGCTACAGCAGTGGCTGCAGAAGCAGTGGCTGCAGAAGCAGTGGCAGCAGCAGTGGTGGCAGCAGTGGCAGCAGCAGTGGTGGCAGCAGTGGCAGCAGCAGTGGCAGCAGCAGTGGCAGCAGAGGTGGCAGCAGCAGTGGCAGCAGAGGTGGCAGCAGCAGCAGTAGTGGGCAAGGATTGAGATCAGTGGTGAGCGGTGTCTCGCATGGCTGCATGAGGGGAGCTGCATAAGAATTACTGGCTGTTTTGGGTGCCATGTGTACAAATATATTTACAGAGGAGAGGGTATAGTGACGGAGAAAGATGGTGGGAGAAGGGGGATCAAGTGATCTTGAGAAAGTCGTAGATAATCAATGTGGATTGAGTGGAGGTGTGTGCATGCTTGCGGCTGGGCAGTGGGCAAGGCTTTGCTGGTGCACAGCTTTATAATAGTAGTTGCAAAGTTGTGCCTACCTTAGATTGCAACATTGTGTGAAACTGCGCAGGCTTTGCTTGCAGGTTAGGTTCAAGTACCGTAGTCTCGCTGGCCTGATGTTGTGTGGAAGCTACCGGTAGAACATGCCCCACTTTGTCAAATTCAGAATGCTCTAACCTGTACTCATCATAATAAAAAGTCCAGTGCATTGGATTTGTATTAAACATAGGCATGTACTATATGCATATGCAGCAGAGCAGCTTAAAGATGGCACTGGCTGAGGTGGTATGCAGGGCATGATCCATGGGACGCCGGTAGTTGTAAAGCAGAAGTGGGTCTGTGCCTGCATGGGAAAGGGTAGCAGTCACCCATGCTGCTGCATCAACCACCCAATTGGCCCATTCACTGGCATGCTGGAGGCATGTCGTAGGCAAGTGGTCTCCTATCAAATAATGGTTCTCACTCTGAATTGATCTGCTTCAGAATGCATGGCTAGTACCGGTATACTGGACGACAAAAGAATCCCAATTGCTGCCACAACTGCATCTCCTTACTACAACCACACTGCACCCACTCAACGTACCTCCATGGCTGGTTACTAGTGACTCAACGTCTGAGGGATGCTAAAGAGATTAGGAAACGACCGTGCGTAGGGATACATAGTATGCGATGGGGTACGGGATGAGGTGTGGGATGAGAATAATGTATGAGGTATGGGATGGGGTGTGGAGGTGTGGGATGAAACGCACGCGCACAGATGTCTCGACAGGCATGCCTGCTCATGAGGTACACATGTGCAGTACCCCAACCATCCGCTCATGTGGCACACATGTGCAGTACCCCAACCATCCGCTCATGAGGCACACATGTGGAGTACCCCAACCATCCACTCATGTGGCACACATATGGAGTACCCCAACCATCCGCTCATGTGGCACACATGTGGAGTACCCCAACCATCCACTCATGTGGCACACATGTGGAGTACCCCAACCATCCACTCATGTGGCACACATGTGGAGTACCCCAACCATCCGCTCATGAGGCACACATGTGGAGTACCCCAACCATCCGCTCATGTGGCACACATATGGAGTACCCCAACCATCCGCTCATGTGGCACACATGTGCAGTACCCCAACCATCCGCTCATGTGGCACACATGTGGAGTACCCCAACCATCCGCTCATGAGGCACACATGTGGAGTACCCCAACCATCCACTCATGTGGCACACATGTGGAGTACCCCAACCATCCGCTCATGAGGCACACATATGGAGTACCCCAACCATCCGCTCATGTGGCACACATATGGAGTACCCCAACCATCCGCTCATGTGGCACACATGTGCAGTACCCCAACCATCCGCTCATGAGGCACACATGTGGAGTACCCCAACCATCCGCTCATGTGGCACGCATGTGGAGTACCCCAACCATCCGCTCATGTGGCACACATATGGAGTACCCCAACCATCCGCTCATGTGGCACACATGTGGAGTACCCCAACCATCCGCTCATGTGGCACACATATGGAGTACCCCAACCATCCGCTCAAGACCTTTCTATGTGGGACGCTGGCTATCCTCACTCCGCCAGCCTCACCACCCTCCATGCCATGCCTTCATGGGGAGGCGACTGCTAGTAGCAGCTGAGGGCAGATAAGGGGAGGGCAGCGAAGAAAAGGTGTTTGAGGGTGAACAGACTTGAAAAGCGATTGGAGTGAATGCGGTTCCTCTCTGTTTCCAGCATTAACCAACCTCCAAAAAGGAGGGCGAGGCGTGTGTACGGGAAGGGGGAAGGAGGAGCGAGGGGCAGCGCGAAATATAGTCCGGAGACAATTCAATGAGCAGCACAGAAGAAGGGCGAGACGGGCATGTTGGGCAGAGTGCTCCTGATTCGCTCCCACACCCCCTTCTCCACAACTCTCGGATACCCTCTCCCCCCTCCCCCTCCTGCCCAAGTCTTACCCCATTTGCCATGGCCGCGGCCAATGCTGCTGCAACAGCAGGCATGGAGAGCCTAAGTGATTCAATGGAAATGCAGGAGGGCGAGTGGGGCATGGGGGGGGGAGCTGAGGGAGAGCAGATTGTCATGGTGCAGTTGCTCTTGGAGGGCGGCATGGGGTTGTCTGAGAGTCTGAAGGTGCAATAGTGGTGATGATGCTGCTTGGTTGGGATCTGGGGGGAGCCGATCTGAGGGTGATGGCGGGCAGAGGAGGATGACGTGAGATGGGGATGAACAAATGGTTCATCTACACAGTGAATGGCAATAAGGGAAAGGCAGTTGATTCGGAAGCGGGTGTGATGGGTGAAGTGGAAGATGCGATGATTGAAACGGGGTGAGTGGAGAACTCAAGAAACTGGGAAGTGGGAGATGAGGTAGTACAAAGGGGATATGGCAGGGAGGGAGTGGTAGAAAGGATCGGGATGGAACGAGAGGGGGTCAGAACAACAGAGGGAGGTTGGAGGGCTGTGGGAAGGGGTGCGGGGGGTGCGGAGGAGGGGATTAGGACGCGTACCTTCTCTCGACCGATCGTGCAATATTGATCCTCCACCATACTGAACTCCTGCTTGATACATTTTACAACTAGCAGAACCTTCTCGAACCCCGCCAAATATCGATCCTGCGCAGGATCGATCGAGGGAGGGGACGCGTCCTTGGGAGGTGGGGGAAAGGGAGAAATGTGAAGGTGGTTTGGAAGGAAGAGACGGGTATTGGAAGAGGATGGGAGGGGATTATTGTCGATGAAGCGAGTTGAAATAACGTTCGCATGTGAGAAGAACCCGTGTCTAGCAGGGGGGGGGGGGAGGCAGTGGGTTGGATTGTTGTGGAGATTCTGCAGTGAAGCAATCCAGTAGGTATGATGGTGGTGGTGGAGACACATGCCACTGCAGTGAGGGAATGTGTATTGCAAAGTGGTTGCTACATAAAGGTGCGCATGCGACATGATACCGTTAAGTGCTTGTTACAGTGGGAGGAGGGGGGACAACGAAATTGATTAAGCAAACTCAAGGTGAATGTTGGAAAAGTAACCCAACACAACATTGAGAAGTGTACAGTTAAGCACATACTGACACAGTCTCACATCCATGACTTAAGTAAGGGGGGAAGATGTAGCAGCTTCAACGGGTTACGGATGAGATCTCAAGAGGACGATTCTATTTCGTCCATCATTCTGGTGGGGCAGGGTGTGGCAGGGTGTGGCAGGGTGTGGCAGGGTGTGGCAGGGTGTGGCAGGGTGTGGCAGGGGCATGGTGCCGTCAATCACTCACATCCTATGCAGCTCCTCTCACCTTCGTGTCGAGGACCACCATTCTCCCCGCAAAGTCAGCTGAGAGGTCGTTCGCAAGCCCCCTTGCATTTATTCCAGCTGCTGCCTGCCATGACGCAGAGGTGCGCTCACATTCACCCACCATGATGATGAGAGCGATGAGAGCGACTCGCGGTGACACACGAGCAGCACACGGAAGGACTGATTGTGTTTCGCCATTCCTCTCCTCCCCAAATCCATACGTGCGTTTGTACATCACAGAACGAGGGCCTTTTGAACTATGGTAATAACGTCCTTTGTCTTGCTCAGAACCGCGAATGCTTTCAATGATGATGCTTTGACAGAAGCGAGGGATGGACAAGAGGTTGGTGTAGTCCCCGCTGGGAAGCCCTGAGGAATGGCATGGTGATCACGCAGCTAATATACCTTGGGCCAGCTTCCTGCCTGCCTGGACCTAGGCCAGGAATACATCCCGAGTCAAGAGCACACCCTAGGTCAGGAACACGCCCTAAGTCAGAAACACACCCTAAGTAAGGAACACACCCTAGGTCAGGAACAAACACTAAGTCAGGAACACACCCTAAGTCAGGAACACACACACCCTAAGTCAGGAACACACCCTAAGTCAGGAACACACCCTAAGTCAGGAACACGCCCTAGGCCCGGGCAAGACTGTGGTGGATGATGCGCTCATTGAGGGCCCGCAGTATAAAAGCCCTGCATGATAGCGGGCTGTCAGAGTCACACTGTGGCTGCTGCCTCTCTCCTCTCGTCCATGCCTCCCTCCTGTCCCCCGAACCCCACTCACCACTGGCTGAATTTTGAGGCGCCTCAAAAGAGTCACTCTGTGGCTGCTGCCTCACTCCTCTCGTCCATGCCTCCCTCCTGTCCCCCAAACCCCACTCACCACTGGCTGACTTTTGAGGCGCCTCAAAAGAGTCACTCTGTGGCTGCTGCCTCTCTCCTCTCGTCCATGCCTCCCTCCTGTCCCCCGAACCCCACTCACCACTGGCTGACTTTTGAGGCGCCTCAAAAGAGTCACTCTGTGGCTGCTGCCTCTCTCCTCTCGTCCATGCCTCCCTCCTGTCCCCCGAACCCCACTCACCACTGGCTGACTTTTGAGGCGCCTCAAAAGAGTCACTCTGTGGCTGCTGCCTCACTCCTCTCGTCCATGCCTCCCTCCTGTCCCCCGAACCCCACTCACCACTGGCTGACTTCACCGCCATGAGTGCCGTTGCTGCTGCTCGTGGCTCTGCCATGCTGCCTGGCTTTGTGCCACAGAAATGAGTAGTCCAGGGAAAGGCTCTTGTTGGTGTGGGAAGGGGAAGAGAGTGGTGGCAAGTGGGGAAGAAGGCAAAGGATGTAGGAACGTTCTGCTGATTGAGGAGGAGGAAGTGGAAAAGAGCTGCTGATGGCATTGCAAACCGGAAAGCAGTGACCACACTCATCCTCCAGTCAGTAAACCAGCGCCAGAAGCACCATGTTGGGCGTGGATGGGCGAGGGTGCAAAAGGAGTAAGCCAACAATGGACAGAAGAAGAAAGATACATTGATTCAGTTCAGATTTCCCTCCCTACCCAACTTCCTCTCACCTCTGTGTTGGCCCGTCGCCCTGCCCGTCAGCATGTGCTTGCTTGCATCTCCTCTAAAATTTCACGTAAAGAAGAAAATTTACGCATGACCAACATGCAATGAGCAGTGTGCAGCTAATGCCCACTTAGGGCGTATCCCTGGGTGGTGGCAGGGCCACTGTAGCAGGCACTGTTGGTGGCATGCGGGAAAACCGCATGCCACCAACATTTTGCCCGAGGCGTGCGCGACACGGATTTGGTGGCATTGAAATGACATTTTTGGGACATTGCCCAATCACGCACCTGTATTTGCGCGCCAGTTTCCTGACACCAACCTGACGTTTTATGTGTTCGTGGCAGGCTGCCATCTACAGTGGCAGTAGGGTTCGGGGGACACACATGGAGAGTGATCGAATGGAGGGGGGCAGTAGGAGGGGCTGGTGAGACAGCCAATGGGAAGGGTGCGGAGGAAAGTGGCAAATTATAAATAGCCTTGTTTGGAAACGCGAAGTGATTGGGCGAGGGGTTGCCGGTGGGAGGTGACAGCGAAACAGCCCAGGAGGGGCCAGACGACATGCGAGTGAGGTGCGTGAGAGAGAAGTGGTGAGCAATGGAAAGGGGTTGAGGGGGGGAAGGGGGGGGTGGAAGGAGCGATGTTCTAGACTGCCCCTGTTAGTTCCACAGCAGGGTATCGATAGGGCAAGCACCATGCACCAAGTATCACGCACCTTGAAAACACCACTGTAAAGCATTCAGCTGGGCTGGGCGGCATTCAGCTAGGCAGCATTCAGCTGGGCGGCATTCAGCTGGGCAGCATTCAGCTGGGCGGCATTCAGCTGGGCGGCATTCAGCTGGGGGCCTAACTAATCAGCCGCCTTTCACAACCAGAAAACCTAAATCACAGCTGAATCATCTGGGAGCGACCTGAGTGACCTGAGAGACCCGAGAGTGACCCGAGAGAGCACAGCCATGCCATGCGGCATCCAGCAGCCTGGCCCAGCTGCACTTCCCCTGTTAGAGACCGACAACATAAGCAGCCTCCACACACGCACCCCCTTCACCCTGCAGTCACCCTGCAGCGGCACTGACCCATTACAACCCTTCTCCTTCTCCCTCCGCTTGTTCCCAAAGGATAACACAACCACAGGGGCACCCAGCGGCCCGCAGCCTTCCACGCGCCCGCCACGTGAGCGGCCCGCAAGATGCCTGTGAACAGTGCGCCCACGCCCTCACCGTAGCGGTGGGGGGACAAGTCGACGTGGGGGAAGAAAAGCAGGTGCGGAGCTGGGGGGTGGGGAGAGGAGAAAGAGAGGAGCAATGTGTTGATGAGAAGGACGCTTGGACGAGGGGAGCGGGAGGGAGTGTTTGTGTGAAAGCTGGTTGCCGCCTGGCAAGGAATCCTCTGATCTGAGCAGCCCCGAGGGGATAAGGGAAGGGGGAGTGGCTAAAAAGAGGACGGGGGGGTTAAAGGAAAGGGGAAGGGGAGAAGGGTGAAGGGATGGAGTAAGGGGAGGAGGATGGAGTGAGTGAAGCGGGGAGGGTAAGCGTAAAGGGGTAAGGGGAGGGTACGAGATGGTGCCTTGGCGAGAAGGGTGCTTGTGCGAGTGGGTTTCGGAAGCAAGCTGGAGTGGAGCAGAGCTGGAGAGGTCACGGATGAGGGGAGAGGGTGGGAGGAAAGTGTCAGGAATGGGTAGGAACGAGGGGGATGGGAAGGAGGAGTAGAGAATGTGTGGGAACGGGGAGGTTAGGCAGGGTTTCGTGGATCCTCTAACAACCCCTCAAAGGATGATCCTCTGTTACATCCGCCAACCCCATCAGCAGTCCCCATTTGGGCGGCAATTCACCGCCCCTTCGGTAATTCTTCACCCCCCCCTTTCATCCCCCACCAGCAAACCCTCACCGACTCTCACACACATGCCTCACCGTGGCGATACTCGCGTGTCAACGGCACTCCGCCCATCGCTGGTTGGTAGCGCCAAGCACGTCCTCCGTGGTCTCCGCCAGCCCATCATCAGCCCCTCCCCCCCCCCCTTTTTCTTCACTCCCTCCTCCCCGTTTGCGCTGCTTGGCGGTGTCCCCGCCACCCATCTCGCCGCCTTCCGCAGCGCCTGCTGCCTCCTCCATTCTTTCCTCTCTGCTTTTCTTTCTTCTGCTGCCTCCACCCATCCTTCTCAGGGTGCGCTACCACGCCGTCGCCAATCTCATAAACATGTCAGAACTGATCACTTTTCACAAAGCCTGCAGCTTCCCTATTGGTCGTCAAGCTTCCACTGGCAGCAGAAGACCTACCTTGCACTGTTAGGAACAGCTCCCTGGCCTCCACGAGCACTGCATACATCAGATCCTGCACCTTGCTGTTGCCCGTGATTGCTGTGAGCGCAATAGTGAGCTTCACCGCTTCCACCTGCACCCACTAGTTGCTGTGACTCACGAGGCGCAAGGTGCACTCTGCCACACCCAGGCCCGCGTACTTGCACTGTACGCTGTCCAGTGCGTCTAGGTGCTACTTCGAGTATCGCACTGGCAGAAACGCCTCAAACATCTCCCACCTGCTCATTGCACGCGCCTTCTCATCTGGCCGCACCGCAGCACCAGCAGCCCCACTGAAACCTGCTCCTGCCACCTGCTCCTTCTGCTTCTCCCCCCAGCCGCAGCACCAGAAGAGGCGACGGCAGTGGCCGTGGCAGCGGCACGGCGCCAGCAGCAGCACTTAGTAGAAAGTGGGTGATGTTGGCTATACACACGCAGGAAGCGCACAATGAGATTCGGAGTCATTACGAAGGGGATCTTGGTCGCCGAGAGCCGCAGAGTGAGCTGCCGCACAGCTTCTGAGTAGTGGGAAGGGAAGGCGGCACGGAGTTCACCACAAGGCACTGCTGTGAGAACTGCAAAGAAAGATCCCTCGTGCCCGATCCCTCCATTGTCTATCACGTCACTTCACTTCCCTCCCCACCCGTATATCTCCCTCTCGTCAAACATCCCCTGACCTCTCCGACAGGATTTGAAGCTCTGGCTACCTTTTCGCTGTAGTGACGGCTCAGAGACTTGGGATAGCTGCGCGACAGGCAGGGTTCCCAGCTCCGCGAATTTCTGCTTGCATGCAGGCGGCCGCTATTGTCGCCCCCTCCTCCCGCCCACTTCACAGCCCTCACAGAGCCTGCTTCAGACGTGACAGTCGACCACTAGTCAATATCCTGTGTATCCCCATCCGGGCTTTTATCCACACCCCATGACTCTCAGCCCCCTTATCGCCAACCTCCCCGTCCTCCTCTCCCTCCTTCTCCTCTCCTCTGCCCCCATATCCTCCTCGGGCATACCCCGTGTCTGCCTCAATCCGTCTGCGTCTGCCTCAACCCGTCTGCGTCTGCATCAGCGCTCACAGAAGTCTCATCCGCGAGCCAAAACAACGTCACCATGATATCCCCCAGCCCAACCAGCCCACTCACTGTCACCACATTCGCCGAGTTGTGCCCCCAGCAGAATGTGGCGATGAGCGAGGCACATGCGACGTCCAGCAGCCCACTCACTCGTGTGGTACCGCAGCTGGCTGTCCACGCCCGCACTCACGTGCTCGTTGCGCCGCATGAGCGGCCAGCTCCAGTGCGTGGGCGGGTGCGGCAGGCCCGAGATCTGGTCGCTATAGTCGATGATCTGCCCAGCACCTACATCTGGTTGCGCGCTATAGGCTCGCCCTTCTCCAGCACCACGTCTGCCACAGCAAGGGACGAGAGGGGACACGGAGGACTGTGGCTAGCAGGAGGACGGCAGGAAAAGACGAAGAGTGATAAATCAGAAAGGCGTCAAAGCCTGGCTGTGATAGCGCTACGTACAGAGGCAGTGCAGGCAGGACTGCACTCAACAACCCTTCCTCTGCGCTTGACTGGGCTCATCACCCGCTTCTCACGCTCACGCCTACCTCACCGTACCCCTTCCCCTCCTGCCTCATCCTCCGCCCCCTCCACCTCGAGGAGCTGCAGCCAGGTGGCGTGCTTACCGTATCGCAGGAGCAGCCTGATGCAGGAGCAGCCAACAGGTGGTCGTGCGAGGGTCGAGACGGTGGAGCAGAGCTCGCAGTTGCCCTTGAGCGTGTGGATGGGCGTGAAGGTGGGAGGAGCAGGGGCCAGGGCGCACAGGAACGCCGTCACAGAGAGGGACGGCAGCCCGCGGTGTGGCAGGTAGGGTTGAGCAACGGCCGGGCAGGGTCCGGTTTGGCTCAAGTCGAGCCGGGGCGGGGTGCCCCAAAAAGCGGACCATGTGTGCGCACAGCGCCGCGCCAGGTGCGGCTCCTCGTCCACCACGCCCGCACAGCACTGCACGCGGGAAGGGCAGTGGGAGGGTGGACGGGGGAGAGGGATTACGCGGGGAACGGGTGCGTGAGGACTGGCTGAGAAAGGGGTTGTAGGACAGGAGGCACTAGGAGTGTGGGGTGGGGTTCGGGTGATGCAGGGTGATGTGGGAAGGGAAAGTGAAGAGAAGGGGGAGGGGGTGATGTGGATGGGCGTGAAGGGAGGCGGATGCTCAAGTTCATCACTTCGTCGGCCAACATGGGCAAAGGCGCCAAGGGGCGGAACCGTGCTCTGCAGCAATGGATGGAAACACAGACAGGTTGACGAAACGGTTTAGATTCCTCTTTGTTCCTCCACGGCGCATTGCCCTACCTGCCATCAGCTAAGAGCCATCCGCATCCACTCCACCTGCCGCCTTGATGCAGGGTGCTTCACTTCACGCATGGCGACTTCGGCACGACGTGGGCTTCAGCATCATGCTCGCCAAAGCCACGAAGGGAGTTCTCGCATTGCAGACCGAGGGCCTCGCTATCTACATATGGCACCCTGCTAGTAGTTATAATCGTTCTCACCAGCTTCGTGCCAGTCGTGGGGGGTTGAATGTCGGCTGCGACGACTTATTTGCTTGTTTCATGAACGAATCCATACCCTCATGGCGTAACTACTATTGTGCGGGTCTCACTCGAAGAGCGGATTGGGCATACCTAGAGAGAAAGAGAATGCAAAAAGCCGGCACATTGCTGCCTCGCTCGTCCCCGCCCGCAGCTATTGCCCGCCTCCACCCACTCCCCAAGTGGACCGACTTGACCGCCACTGTTAGGGTTGGTTCGCCCAACCACGGAACCTACGGCGAAAGTCTCTACGACGGCGGGATGACGGCGAAATGGAAGCGCGTAGATGATTCGTGAATGAAACGGTGGAATTCGGCCTACGGTGGATATTGGAAGCTACGGCGTGAGAAGCGGGAGAGAGATCGGGAAGATACTAGAGAAATGGAGGAGAAAAGTAGAGAAGTATCGAGAATGAGATCGACGGGGGAAATTGTGGTTCGAGCTCGAGGCGTGTTCGAGAAGGTTCCAGATTCGGACTTGAGGAGTGTTCACTGAATTCGGTTCGGTTCCGTGTGCGACTCGGGGTGAAACGAGGCGCACGGGGTTACTTGGGAAACAAGTGAAGTTACGAAGCGCATTTTGTACCTTGGTTGACTATAAACCTGTTTGTACTCATTCTGGAAAACATAACTTGGAGATTCTGAAAATTGCTGAAGTGTGTATTGACAACTTCAAGCAGAGCTGCGCATATCATTGGAATCGGGTGATCGTGGAGAACACGATAAGCAATAGCAAGTAGACTATTGCCGACTAAGGCGTTTACGATCCTAAGAACTGGTATCAGAGCTTGGCGAACGGGCGCGTCGATCGCGGTGAATTCACTTGGTGCGCTAAGTGAAATTAGTGGAGAAGAGGAGTCGTTCACGCCTACGCCATGGGAGACGAGGCGAGTTCGGGTTCCAGTGTGAGTCTTGGAGACCCGCAGTTGAAGGCTCTTCTCGAAGCCCTTGCGAGTGGCCAATTGGTGGCGAAACCGACGATCGGGCTCAGTGAAGCCCAGCACTTCAACGGAAGCAACTACAACGTGTGGCGGAAGAAGTTTATTCGGAGGGCAGAGGAGGTTGACCTCTTATCGTACTACCGTCCCGACGAGGAGACGATGGAGGGAGTTGCGCCATCCCCGACGGATACGAAGGAGAAAATAGCGGCGTTTAAAAAGCTAAGTAAGCAAGCGTTCTTTCAGCTTTGTCACTCAGTTGCCGATGGAATCGCGGTGGATTTGGACCAGTTTGCAGGGGAGCTGAACTCTGCACAGCGGGCGTGGGAGTACCTGGAGTCCACGTACATGGGTACGAACGATGTCAACAAGAAGGCGATCAGGAAGCAACTGCTGATGCTGAGCATGGAGAAAGGCGAGAAAATCATCACCTACATCAACAGGGCGAAAAGATACAACGACGATTTGCGGGTGATGGGAGCCGCGGAGACGGAGCATGAGATGATAGACTATATCATCCAAGGCCTTCCTAAGGAGTGGGAATCCGACATCGGTATGTTTACGTACCAACCGCCGGAGAGTTTGACGAAGCTGCAGGAGATTCTGCAATCGCTTGAGACGGTGAAGGAGATGAGGAAAAAGAAAGCGGCAGCAGCAGCGGAATTCGACGAGGAGAGGCCGGCTATGGTGAATGCGACAAAGGCGTTTGGAGCGTGCTACCAGTGTGGAAAGAGGGGGCATAAGGCGATAAACTGCTACGAAAACCCGCGAAGCAGAAACTACAAGGGCAAAGCGGTGGAGAACAAAAATGGAGAAAACAGGGGAGCGGAGTGGCAGCAGAAACGAGGTTTTGGCGGCAAGTGCGACTATTGTGGGCGCTACGGGCATCGTGCCGCAGAGTGCTACTCCAATCCAAACAGCAGGAGCTACAAGGGTCCGTCGCAGCAGAGGAATGTGGCGGCAAAGGCGAATGTAGCAGAAGCGAACGAGGATGATGTGATCCTTCGAGGAGCGCATCTTGCGAACGTGGTGCGTTTACCAAAGGAGGTTCGTAAGACGGACGGACGTGAGAAGACGGCATGGTACATGGACAGCGGATGCACGCGTCACATGACATTCAGGTCAGATTGGATGGAGAATGTGAGGGAGTCGAGTGAGGATTATATACTGCAAGGTAACAGTGGGAAGTTACCAGTGACAGGAGAGGGTGACGTGGTGCTGCAGAGTCCGTATGGAGAGGTGAAACTGGAGAGTGTGCTGCTGGTTGAGGATTTAAGGGTGAATTTGGTCAGTCAGTCACAGCTTGATGACTTGGGGTGCAAGATATTTTATGACAAAGGCGAGGTTACAGTGTTTGGTCATGAGTGGGAGAAGTATGCCGATGGATACTTCAGTGACGGGTTCTATGAGATGAACTTGATAGCGATGAACGACAAGGATGAGATCTATGAGGATCCTGAGTCTACTGAGGTTGATGAGAGCGAGGACACGGATGATACGGGAGCGAGTGTGGAGGCAGCAGTGAAGCAGGAAGAAGAGATAGTCACCATGGAGGCAGCAGCGGTGAATGATGGAGATGGAGATGGTGTCAACACTTTTGCAGCAGAGGTCGTGGTTAAAGATGAAGCAGTAAATGCGAAGTGTGTGGGAGTTGAAGCTGTGAAAGGGGGCATCATGGTGAAGGGATCAACGACGAATGCAACTGCAAAGGGGCGAGTGCTTATGAAAGAGGAGTACGTTGAGGGGTACGAGACTCGAGAGGTGTTGGGTGCTAAGATGCCGAGGAGAAGCGAGAGGCTTAAGAAAATCTCTCAAGGTTTGGATGTCAAGGCGCTCAACTTCAAGACACGTAAGCAGAGGTTCAAGGTGCAGGTGTCAGAATGTTATGCTCTAGCCTGTAGTGGGGTGCTCTATAGCGAGTACAACCCTTCTAGGGTTTGCTATTTGTATCCTCATTCCTGCTAGTGAACCCCCTCTTTGCCTAAACTGTTTCTTGCCTAGCTAGGGCTTTCCTAGCTTTGGCGCCTTCTTCTACTGCTTATCTTCACATGGTATTAGAGCGATATGCTCCTGGCCTGTGGGCCCCACCTCACTGCTTCCGCTGCTACTGCTACTCTCTGTGTTGCACGCCCCGTGGCGTGCAACGGATTTTTCATCCCGCCACGCGCTCGGAGCGTGCGGCGGTTTTCTGCCCGCCGTGCGCCCCGAGGCGCGCGGCGGTTTTCTGCCCGCCGCGCGCGGCGGTTCTCTGCCCGCCGCGGGTTTCTGCCCCGTCACGCAGCGCGTCGCTCCCGGGAGGCGCTGCGATGGGCGACGGGGACCCGCGCGTCGCCCCCCGTCACCCGTCGTGGCCTGTGCGCGGCCCGTACAGCCTGCGCGCGGCCCGTACGGGCTGCGCCAGGCCCGCGCGCGGCCCGTACGGGCTGCGCCAGGCCCGCGCGCGGCTCGGGCCGCCTGCGCGCGGTTCGGGCGGCTGTGCCAGGCCCGTGGGCGGCCCGTTCTTCGCTGCCCCTGCGCTGCCCGCTGTCCCCCGTGCTTCTGATGGCGCCCCACCCCTGCTACTGCCCGTTCTCCTGAATTAGGGTTTGGGGGTGGGGGGCATGGTGGTGCAGCTTCTGTGTGCCGTCCCCTGCTCCTCCTCCTCCTCCGTCTCCCAGTGCTGCAGCTGCCGCTGTGGGGGGTGGACCTGTTGGAGCCGTCGGAGTGGTACTAAGGGGGGTGAAGGGGGAGTGGAGCTAGGGGTGAAGCAGGGGGTGTGTGTCAGGGGGGGTGGGACTGTTTGGGGAGGTTGAACGAAGGTTGCCGTCGTGTCGCCAGCAGCACCTGTAGTCCGGGGAGTTGCTCCGGTAGCCCAGTCGCAGCCACCTGTGCCAGTCGCCCGTGGGTCCGTTGCTCGTCTGCCGCTACTTTTAGCCGCGGGGCCAGTTACTCCAGTAGTCCGGAGCGCTGTTCTGGTAGCCGCTGTGCCAGTGTGCCTCCTGTTGCCCGTGTGTCTGCAGCTTCAGTCGTCGCCTCCTATCTCCTCTCCTCTTACAGTCTCGCCTCCTCCTCCTCACTTGCCCTCTGCGATAGCCTCTAGCTTTGCTCATAATTGTGAACTTTAAACTATTGCTTCTTGTACTTGTGCTCAGAATGTGTGGTGACATTGTGATCCACCCTGAGCTTGTTCTGCTTTGCTTGCTCTGCTGATTACACCCCACTTTGGCTATGGGGGTGTGTCAGAATGTTATGCTCTAGCCTGTAGTGGGGTGCTCTATAGCGAGTACAACCCTTCTAGGGTTTGCTATTTGTATCCTCATTCCTGCTAGTGAACCCCCTCTTTGCCTAAACTGTTTCTTGCCTAGCTAGGGCTTTCCTAGCTTTGGCGCCTTCTTCTACTGCTTATCTTCACAGCAGGAGCTGCAGGGGAGTGTGAAGGTGACTTAGACCTTGTGAAGGCTACCAGGAGCAGGGGAGGAGTGCGAGTAGAGTTCGTGGTTGACAAGCCACAGGGGAGATTGTTAGGGTTGGTTCGCCCAACCACGGAACCTACGGCGAAAGTCGCGACGAGGGGAGGCGCGACGCGGGGGGGGGGGGGGGGGGGGGAGGTAAGATATGGGACAGGAAGGAAGGACCTAGGGAAGGAAAGGGCATAGTGGGGGAGAGAGAAAACGCAAGAGAAGGAAGGAAATGAAAGGGAAGGTAAGGCATTTTACCTATGACGACTGCTCTG